TGCAGAATCTATGACAAAGTTGCACTTTTGGCCATCCAGCTTTCCTATCATGTAGACACTACATGTGCTTGACATTTTACACTTAGCTGTTGGGACTTTCACAATGGGGGTTGGTGGGCGTCTCTGAACACCAACCACTAATGGTTTCCCCAAGGCTGACTTATTGGTAGTACTTTTCTTACACTGGCTCCTCATATGTCCTTGCTCTCCACAGTTCCAACAACCTTATGGGTAGCAGCCTTTCCTGCCATGGCATCTTCCCTGTGTTCAAGTTTCCAGCATTGAGCTTTTTTGTGCCCAGGTTTATTACAGTGCCAGCAAAGTCCCTCAAACTTCTCTGAAAGCTGACCTTTTCTGGTATTGAATCCTGATGACTGTACCAGCTTTGGTACCTCTGTGCTGAACTTAACATAGGATTCGAATTCAAGAGCTCTAGCCATTGCATCCTGCATAGTAGAGGGGCGTGCTTGCTTTATTTGTATCTTCAGTTGTGGACTGTTCAAGGCATCTACAAACTGATCCCTCAGCAATAACTTGAGGACATTGGGTGGTGCAGTTGGGTAGGCCTTGTGTGCCATACTTGTCAAATCTTTTGCCAGCACTTGCAGGCTTTCCCCTTTAGCATGGACTTCGGACTGATTTTGAGTTCCATACCTGAGTTCTAGAGCAGCTACTAGTGCTCTAAATTTGTGCCTGTCGTCTGCTGACAACTGTCCAAGTATTTCCAGTGGTTGTCCCTTCAAGCTCGTTGCCAGGTACACTGCTTTCTGCTCCTCTGTCCATCCACTGATTTCTGCCAGGAGCTCAAATTGTGCCCTATATGCTTCCCATGTTGCCTTCCCTTCGAATTCCTGTGGCTTCCTTCGTACTAGATCACCCCTATTGCTGACACACGTCTGGAATGTGACTTCTGGCAGGACTGAAGATGTCTGCATTAGGGTTTAGCTGTGGGGTCTGGCAGGGGCTTTCTGTTGTCTGGGGCTGATTAGGCCCATGGCTAATATGTCCTCCTTGTGTAAAAGACAATAAATCGTCCTTTAATGTATTTAATTCACTTTGAAATTTTATCATTTTTTCCATTTGTGTATGCTGGCTTTCTCTCAACCTTTGGAGACTTTCTTCTTGTTTCTTTTCTCGTTCTTCCTGTTTCTTTTGCTGTTCCTGTATTGCTCCCATCAAATCTGCTAAGCTGTAGTTTGATTTGCCACTTCTCGTTTCCATCTTCTTTTTTATTTTCCGTCCCACTCTCTGACACCAATTTGTTATGTATCTGCTTGTTTGCTAATTTCCCGTAGAAATTCTTTCCGAGAAACTTTAGCGATACAAGTCCTTTCTTAATTAAAACTGGTTTATTCTTTCTCGATACAACTTTGTAATACATAGAATTT